AGATTTTTTCTTAAGAGCTAAGGTGCCCGTGACATTTTACCTGTAAACTGTTGACGTTAGCTGACTCTGCTCTGCTGTCACGGCACATTTATGAATGAACTCCTGCCTGAACAGGGCAGGACAAAACAACTGATACTCCACGTATAATCGAGGAATAATTAAAATTTATGTTGAATTGATGAATATTATATGCTACCCTCTCATGACTCACTGAGGCATTGCCCCACACGGTAGTCTTGATGATTATTGTTTTGTACACGTAGCTAGCAAGGATTTACGTCTTGGTCTTTTGCGCTCTAGGAGATTTAATAAAATAAAAGGCACGAGTGCACATAATCTCTGGTTGCTTCTACTCATTTCGATTCTTGATGTGGTGGCTTTATCCCCGGCTTTTGCGTTTATTTATTTTGAAAAAGAAAAAAGAACTACTCCTCCTACTGTCCATATTATCACCCCTCACTGAGTGTTCAAAACACCTTCATGTAGAATATGATGATGAACAAATAGAAATACTATTAAATAGTGCACGAAATGTAGAATATTTTATTTTTTTATGCAGTTTTTTATTGTTGATAGAAAATAAAAAATCAAGACTATTAAAATACTCAACTCTGGAAGCAATGCCTAGTTAAAATGAATTATACGGGGGCAAATGTTTTTTTTTTTGGTAATATGATGCTGGGTGGGTGTTTGTTAATTAAAAATATATTAAAATACTTTTTTATTTTAGATATTAACATGTCATGATTATTGAAAAATATTTAAAAAATATGTCGATTTAATATTTTTTCAAGAAAAAAATTAAAAATCTAAGATACGACTCAATGATTTGATTAGATACAATAAACTCAATTAATTCGATATTATAATTTAAAAACAAGGCACTGATTGTAAATAGAGTGAAAAAAAATCAAAATAATTAATTATTAAAAATAAGATGTGAATGTCATAATTAAAAAAAAAAAACTCATTGATAACTCACCAAAAAAATAAGATGTCAATGTCATAATTTAAAAAAAAAAAAAAACTCATTGATAACTCACCATCATTTCATTGTAAACATTGCCTCGTCACAAGAAATAGCTTATTGAAACAGTTCTAATACCATAGCAAAACATTGCATGACAATATCTAAAACAACTGCATGCACCTTTAAGGCAACAACCCATGAAGAAAATAAAATAAAATATCATGAAGTGGGCATATTATGTCTACATCTTATCAATTAATTTAATTTCATTAAAAAATATAGTTTATTTAGAAAAAGCTAAATTTAACAAATAAAAATAAATAAAAATATTCGAAGTAACCCATGTCATTTTCAAAATAAGTGAAAAAACTATAAAAAACAAAAAAAAAATAATGAAACTCAATTTCCAATTAAATATATATCAAGGAATGAAAAAGAAAAATCATAAGCTTATAAAAAGCAAAATTAAGTAAATTTTTTAAACCCGAGTTAATCTGCAAAACTTGTAAGCCATGAAATCTCATACTGCAACTCAATTAAGAAACTTAAACCCAAGTCAATTTAAAGTTGGAAGATTAAACCAGATAAAAAAATATCAATTCAAAAATTTTCCTAGCAAGTTCGAACGAATCTCTTATTACTGGGTCAATATTCCAAACTCACAACCTATGAATATATAGATGAAAAAGCTTATAATTTTAAATGGTCTATTACTGGGTTAATATTCCAAACTCACAACCTATGAATCTATAGATATAAACTCAATCAAGAAATTCAATTTTTATCCCGGATAATTTTGAATGATATAATTAAAAAATATATAAATTTTAAAAATGTCAAAGCAGAAAAAAATAGCAATATGAACAGTGAATATCAAATTTAATAATCAAAAAATGAAAAGGGATGAAATCATGAAAAAATAAAAATAATTATAATTTTATAAATTATTTAAAATAAAGTAAATTGTAATCAAAATAAAATGGACAAAAAACATAAAAAAAATGATTAAAAAGATTGTTTTGATAAATTGAAGGGTTAGGTGCAAGAATGGAGAGAAACAAAAAAAAAATAGTAAAGGCGACTCGAATTATAATGGAAATTCAATGGCTATATGCATCACTGAGAGATTAAAGAGTCACCAAGATAATTTAAATATCACTATGAAAACTACTATTTAGGCATCAAGTATCATCGTACGCGTCATCTGAACAACATGAAAATCTCGTGCTCACACAGACCAATCACTTTTATTTTTAAAATAATATTTCATATTAACAAGATATCAAATTACTCCAGTAAACTTGATCATTTCAAAAAACTCAAGTTAAAAATACAAAAACACTTATAATCGTCAACTTAATCACAATGCTTAAAAAATAGATGAAAAAGCTTATAATTTTAAATGGAAAAAATAATTTTACAACTACTTTGAAAGCTATTTATTTTATGTTCACGTCATTTTCTCTCAAATCAAACACTCACCTCTTTTATTATAAAATATAAATAAAAAAATGCTTTACTGGTACAATAGTCGGTTAATTATTATTAAAATAGCTAGCTAACTTATAAAATTATAAGATTTTATAAAGCAATATATATTTAAAATATTAAATTAAATAAAAAATTAAAAATAAGTAAAATCAGATTTAACTAATGTAAAATTAGTAAAATCGATAAACTTAATTTAATTTTATAAGTTTATTAAATTTATGATATAAATAAAGTTAAGTTCACATCTAACTTTATAGTATATTCTGACTAATTTTATGAAATTGAGCATATTTTTCAAACTATATATTAGATGAAGCTGAAATTTTATAAGAAAATATTACATATATGAAGATATACCATGACAAATTTTCAGGTCAAATGAAGTTAAGAAACATAATATTTTAGATGATCAAATTTAGTAAACTAATATTATCAAATATATCAAACAATATATTCGTGTGCTGTTTGTAACATGTCTAGAGCTATCAATAGAATTTTACTTTGATTAAAGGTATGATATAAATTAAACATCTGAAACTTTTCAACTGTATATCTTGGACTAAAAAATTCATTCAAATAAAAAAGAATGACATGTTTTAAATCAAAACTCAAATCTACCAATAATATAAAAAAATCAGAGATTTAGGTTACGTGAAAGAATTTTAACATTAACACGTTTTTTATTATTTTATTTTGTTTTTTTTTAATTTTAAATAATTATTTTAAATTTGATTTTTTTCCATCATGTTAAATATTATTTAGGGATTCATCTTATTATTGTATTTATGTTAATTAATTACTAATTTAAACTCATTAACCTGTAACCCAAAAGGAATTATCAAGATTTATTGTTATGGAAATAATCAAGTTGTCACTAAATTTACATATGCTTTCTACTTTTTAGTGATTCCGTACTCAAAAATTTTGTTTTGAAATTTTTTATTTTTTCATGTTATTAATTTATATTATTTTCCTCTCTTATTTTATTTAAATTCTCTCTTATTTTATTTAAATTACTCATTAATTATAATATAATTAATTTATTTTATAATATTCTAATGTAATCTAAGTTATTGACTATAATTATTAATATATAATTAATAAAAAAATTATCTAAGATGGGATGATCGACTTTACCATTCAAGTTTATATTATATTTTGTATTTAAAATATTTTTAACAACGTGGTGCCAGCATCACCCTTGAGTTATAATCTTTTCATAAAGTCAGTTTACCACCGATAATTAGTGGATGCGTGAAATCTAAATTGGAAAAAAAGGAAGAAAAAAAAAAGGGAGGACATGGAGTAGGTACTTCCGTAATTCTAACAAAATCAGGATAAAATGGGATAAAAAGTGGTGGGACAATCATTCGGTGTGCGTGGAACGAAGAAAGCAAAATAAAGAGCGAAGATGCATGACCTCAGCCGTTGATTTTCTTCTTGCCAGGAAGAAAAAAACAGCTCTGGTTCGAAAAAGTTTTCGGGTTTGGTCTTCTTGACCAGCGACCATAACAGGCCTGCGTTCACACTGAACACACGTGGAAGACTGGCCCCACTAAACATTCTCCTTCGTGGAGGGAATCATGCACACAAACATGATGATCTGTCCCTTTTATTCTAATGCCCTCTACTGTTTTGATGAGGAAATCCATAAACCTAAGAGCCTATTCGCTACTTGCACGTTTTTAGTTTTGGCATGTGGCTCCCAGGGGCTGTGAAGTGAAGTCTCCCTGTGGTAGTGGGTGAGAGATTTTTTTTTGTAAAGTATTTTTTAATTAAAAATGTTAGTAAAATAATTAGTTTTATCTCTTTATTTTAATATCGAATTCCAAAACATTCGCTCACAGCTTAGTTTTTTTTTTTCAAGGGAAATTAATTATTCTTCCTCCTGGAATATCCATCATTTCTAGTTAAACTGTTCAATATCACCCACTACAAATAAGTTTAAAAGGATAATCTATAAAACTTTTAAAAAAATTAATAGTCGCTTTTATTATGGTTTGAGAGTAAGAATATTATATTTATATATAATAGGAACATAATGTTATTTTTTTATTGATTTACTTTACTTGCTAATCAAAATTGAAAACATTTTTAAAACTATATGAGTACTAAAAAATATTAAAAAAATCATTAATTTATTTTTATAGTGTGATAATGTTTGTTTTCTAAGGTGTTTTTTCTTGAAAATACCTTGTAACAATATTTTTTTACATTACATTGCAAACAAAATAAAAATTTAATACATTAAAAGTTTAATTTAAAATAAAAATTCTAAATTCTAAAAAAAAAACCAGATATCTAAAATGTGTTTGTACAAACTTCTGCTTTACTTTTAATAGTGTAGCCACTGCTAAAAATAAAAAATATAATTTTTATTTTTACTATTTTTATATTTTATGCTGTAAAAAATTGTAATAAATACAAAAACAGAAGCTAGGAGAAACACTATATTAGTGTTTTTTAAAGTAAAAACACGTTTGAAAAGATCTGCTGCCGAACACCCCGGAGGCCAAAGGCGTGTGCGGGGTTGGAAATAATTACACTACATTGCAAACAAAAAAAAAATCAATCGATTATAAAATGGGCCAGTTCAGTTTCTGACGTGTAGAAAGCCCAGTGGCTAACCAAGGGAAGAGCATCATAAACACTACAGAGAAGTGAGCTGAGCGAAAAAGAGAGATACACAGGGTGTGTGTGGGTGTTGGTGGTGGCCGAGTCCGCCGTGGCATGGAAGAAGAGCTGGCCATGCTTAGGCAATTCATTGGTCAGCTTCAAGACCTTTTGAATCTCTACGGCTCTCCTCTTCCTCCCTTTGATTCTCTTCAACCCTTTCACTTTCATAACCAACAACAACAACAACAAAATCACAACAACGGCAACAACAACAGGTCTCTCTTTAGATCTCTTTCATTTCTCGATTCTTATTTCTTCCTCTCTATCCGCTCCGTTTTCACTGTGACCTCACATTTCTTACTTATTTTCAAATTTCTCTTCATTTGTTACTTAGGTTTCCTGCTTCCCTTTTATTTTCTCTGTTTTAAGGTTACTTTATTAATAATAATATTTGTCATTAGGTTTTTTCTATCAAATTTTATGTGTTGCGAGTTTGGTAAGTTAAAGTGACTTTTTCAGGATTTCTCTTTTTGCCGTGTTTTTCTACGCAATGTGATTTTTTTTTCTTTATGGAAATTTGACTCTAACGTTGTCTTGTTTCGTTTTTTAAAACTTCTTACCATGTTTTCGATAATTAAGGATATATATTTTTTTTAAATCTCTTCTCTTAGGCTGTCCGATTGTTTAATTTTGGTACAGCCAGTCCCAAGCTCTCGCAGTTATTTTCCTTCCGAGGTTTATATTTTTCTGTTCATTTTACTGTTTGCTGTTTTAGGAAAGTTTTTAAATCTGTTGTTTGAGAAAATAGAAACGATTCTTTCTTATGTGATATTTATAGTATTCATTCATTGAGCTGTGGTGGATTACAAATATAGGAGGATCTCAGGTATTGAGTCTTTCACTAGATTCTCTATGGGTCTGGAAATCATGCGTAAATCGTGCCTTTTTTGGGGGATCTGTTTAAAAATTTAGCCTAATCACCCCACATGTTCATGTTTCTCCTACGAAAACGATACGATGGAAGGATTTTGTTTCCCTTTTATTTGTTTAAAATATGTGTCTGGATATGCTTGCAAACGAGGTCCTGTAGCTAACAGTCAGAGAAAACTTTGTTTCCCTTTTGCTGCTAAGAATTTTCTTCTTCCTCGTACTCGCTGCATGTGAAGAGATGCTTGGATTTTCCATATTTACTCTTGGGATCGGATTGTGACATGTTCATTGTGGTTTGGTATTTGTGTAACAAAGTCATTAAAGCTGAGATGATAGGATCTGAAATCTGGATGCTTGCCCCAGGAGAGTAGCATCTCCTGCATCAATTGATTAAAAGTGCTTTTGCCATCCTATTGCACGTTTAGGATTTGCACTGAACATGCACGTGCAGGTTATGTGGAAGTGATTCTTGGGAGCTGAGATTCATTGCTTGTGAGGATCTGTGTTATTATTATTACATGTTGGGATTGGGGTTAGCAATTTTCCTGGTGCTATGGCAACAGATTGGTCTTGCAACCACCAGGGATCAGAGTCTAAAGAGCAGCCGGATCATGCTAAAATTCTCAATTTTTCCCTGTACAAGCTCCTAATCTGGGTAGAGTTAGAAACATATCTGAGTGACGGCGTTTTCTTTCTGGCCTGCAGTGAAAGGCATCGAGTTTCAGGACAGTAATGCCTTCCCAAAGGAAATCCTGATTAATCTAATTTGCATTCCTTTGTGCAAACAAATGACAATATTACTTGTACTATCATGTCAATACATGTTAGCCATATCATTGTTAATATTCTGAGTTCCTGGGTTGATATTGTTGCTGACAAGGTAAGCTTATATGATGTTGTTTAGATCTGGCTGGTTTATACCACAGCCACGGTTGAAGGCCAGGAGAGGAGTTGAGTGTAACGTAAGACTGAAAGTATGGAAATTGATTTGAGATAAGCTGAGGATCTTGCAGATAATAGCTGGCTGAGATTATTAGTCTAAATCCATTTTAAGCTTCTTTGGACTCCTCTGGCCTGTACCTTCTGGGTTGCTAGAACAAGTACTAATGAAATTTATAACTGGCCGTTTAGAAGGTTTAGTTTCTAATTTCTAGCCACATTTTAGAAGGTTTAGTTTCTAATTTCTAGCATCATCTTCATTAGTTCTTAATGCTTGAACCTGGTTTTTTATTTTATGGGAGGGGAGGGGGGATGCTGCCGAGTAGGTCACAAGAACTGCATATAATCCATTTTGATGTGTGTGATTTTTTATTTTCTTTTCTTTTATTTTATTTTTTGTAAATTTTGTGGATTCACTTCTGTTTTTTATTTTTTTGTTTCTTTAGCCAGTTAAGAATTGATCCAGTGAATTCATGTTGGGATCTTCCTTGTAATAATCATGGGATATGCTAGATTTTCGTGCAAGCTCTTCTTCTATTGTTTTCCCTAGTTGAACCTCATACCATCTTCATGATATTTCTTATGTTGCTTGTCCTCATCATTTTTAGTTGATGCTTCATTGAAATTTCCTTTTCCTGTGTTCCATTCCTCTTTATTTTTCCTACATAAGTTTCCATATGATTAGTATCTTTCCTCATAAATAACAGTGGCAGGAATGTCCCTACCTTTCATTGTCTTGTGGAATCAACCTCCTTTCCCTCACAGTAGCTTCCTTCTGTATATTTTTTGTTACTGTCCCTGTTGTTTTCAAATAATGATGTCACCAGCCAGTAATGCTTATGCTCTTGAATGTTGCTATCTTATGCTGGTTGTGGATATGCGGACAATGAGAGCAATATCTACAGTATGCATATATATTATATGCAGCACGTTGGTTAGATAGTATATATGCATGCAATGCCATCCTCTGCTGTCTAAAACAAAAAAAATTAACCGTGCCTAAAAACTTCCTAAAGAAATGAAAATATAGAAATATACACATGTATGATTTGGATTCTCTTTTACCTGTTAATGAGATATATATAGTGGTTGTTTATTTGGTTGATACTCTTCAAGTTTACCTCTCTGTTCTAATTTGTGTGGTCAACATGGATAGCAGAAAGTGAAGAAATCTCTGGGTGAAATTATAAAATAATGTGCTTGGTGTTTATTTTGGAACTTCTTGAGTTAGAGAGATCAAGATCTCGAAGCTGTGTTGTCTAAATCTGTTACCTCAACCATCTTTTTGGTATTTCAAACATAAAAATCGTTTGGAATAAACTCACAGGCTGTGGCTGTAGTTTGAACATGATTATCTTTGGAGGTTATTTGAAATTTGCTTGACAGATATTCTATCTATTGCATGTTTAAGCCCCATTTGTATTTTCAGCCTCTCCGTGCTTATATTTTGTTCAAACCTGACATCTGCTTATATTTTGGTAATGATTTTTATGCTGAATTATTTTGAGCATGTGCATTAGTAGCACCAGATACTCTGTTCACTGAATATGAATTTCGTAGCTCATTTACAGATGGTGCTTCCTCAATCTTGATGATGACTCAGCAGATGATTACTGTAGTCTTGTGATGGCGGCTGGAAAATCTGGAAGTTTCAAGATGTTGGAACCTTGCAAGCCTCCACCCTCCAAGAAACCTCGCAAGGAGCGGAATCGAGGAAAATCACTGGGAACCACCAGTTCAACTGAGGTTATGCAACAAGAAATTTGGAAAGAATTCCCTGAAGATCTGTTCGAAGCTGTTATTGCTAGACTTCCAATCACTACATTTTTCCGCTTCCGCTCAGTTTGTCGAAAATGGAACTCCTTCCTTGATTCTCAAAGTTTCTCTCAGCATTGTGCCCAAGTTCCACAATCTAACCCCTGGTTTTACACCATCGCACATGAAAATGTGAATTCTGGAGCCATGTATGACCCTTCTTTGAAGAAATGGCATCACCCAACTATATCCTATCTGCCCACAAAGATGATAGTCTTGCCAGTTGCTTCAGCAGGAGGTCTTGTGTGCTTTCTTGATATTGGTCACAGGAACTTCTATGTCTGCAACCCTCTGACTCAATCTTTTAAAGAGCTGCCACCAAGGTCAGTGAAGGTCTGGTCCCGTGTTGCTGTGGGGATGACTTTGAATGGCAGTGCAGCCAGTGGGGGCTACAAGATCTTGTGGGTGTGCTGTGATGGAGAGTATGAAGTTTACGACTCACTGAAAAATTCTTGGACCCGACCAGGAAGCATGCCCTCTTGTATAAAGTTACCCCTATCACTGAACTTCCGGTCACAAACAGTTTCCCTTGGAGGTACACTTTATTTCATGCGCTCAGATCCTGAAGGGATTGTGTCCTACAATATGGTTACTGGGGTTTGGAAGCAATCTATTATACCAGCCCCGCACCATCTGAGTGACCATGCACTTGCACAGTGTGAGGGGCGGATCATACTTGTTGGCTTGCTAACAAAGAATGCAGCCACTTGCGTGTGCATATGGGAGCTGCAGAAGATGACACTCTTGTGGAAGGAGGTAGACAGAATGCCAAATATATGGTGCTTAGATTTCTATGGAAAGCACGTTAGGATGACTTGCTTGGGCAACACAGGTTTGCTCATGCTGTCACTAAGATCAAGACAAATGAACCGACTAGTTAGTTACAATGTGGCGAGCAGGGAATGGCTCAAGGTTCCTGGTTGTTTGGTGCCACGTGGGAGAAAGCGGCAATGGATTGCGTGCGGCACTGCCTTCAACCCATGCTTGACTGCTACAGCTTAGCCCCTTTGCTTGCCGTGTCAGCATTTGCATGTTGAAGGGGAATTGGATTTTATGGCTGCAAGCTTTTTGTTATTGTTTTAATGAAGTAGATGATACCTGAGAGGTTTATGAATGACATCTTTTCATGTACAAACATGTTGACAAATAACTTAGAATTGAAAAGACTGGCGTTTAAAATTGAATTCCGCTGGTTCAGATTTCTATTTCGTTTTAAAGTAAAAGTTAGTTTTTCCCCCATCCCAAGCTAATGATAGTTTCTGCTGAGAATTGCCATCTGATTAATTTCTATGGAGTAACATTTGCATGAGCTATTTGTCTGCACTATGCAGACAGTGAGAGAAGGAATTGAAGCTTTCACTAGCAAGAAATGCCATTGAAATCCACTAGTAGCGTGCCTGATGGGAGCTTAAATTCCTGCAACTGACCTGCCATCTAGTGTGATATACCTGGAGGATTATTTTAGAGCTAGTAGAAGCATAGTTAATTTACGTGGCCTGTCGTATTATCAGTTTTCACCTCAAGAATTACATTGAAGATGCTACAACGTTTTTTAGGCACAAAGCAATTTCCGTAGGAATGGTGTTTAAAAGTGAGTCAACTAAAATGCCACTCCATGGTTTAGCTTATAAATTAAAGGTGTGCACACAGAAGATCCATATTCCACGGATATGAAATTTTGTAGGCCTCGCGATTCTCGATATGAGCCTCACTAGGAAAACAGCAGGTGGCTTCACTGAGCTTCATTTGCACAAGTCAAGAGTCATGAATGGCGGACATTCCGTCTCACTGGACTAGACTGAATGTTGGACATCCACGCTAACTTGTGGACATTCCGTTCAATGCGATCCATATTCCGACTTTGATGACCGTCGAAACAAAGTAACAACCAGTTGTCCAAAATGCAATTGCTGGATGCTGACATTATAGTTATCATCAGTAACATCATTTCCAGCAAGTTCACAGAAAAACCACGCCGAGGGTTGATCCCTCCGACGAAGTCCACTCCAGCCTGACTTTGGTGGCTAGAGGAGTGACCCCAAGCCCAAGAGAGGTAAAACCAAAGCCAATTCTATAAAGCAGCTTCAATAGAAACAAGGAAACATGCAAAACTAAAATGGTCAATTTGATTAAGCAGTCATGGTGAGGCGCAATTTTTTTGTCAAACGTTATAGTTCTCAATACAAGGATAAACATTGATCTAGTAAATGCATTCTTCATCTCTCCTACACGCTACTAGGAATGGGGACCGAAACAACCAACCATCCGCTGCTGCCATCTACCAGATCAGTGACAGTTCATGCCTTGCCTTCGCTTGTAGCTGTCCTGATTATCTGGAATAGAGCTGTTACAAACAACAAGGAACACCTGATCAATGACCAGGAAAAAGATTTTGGTTCCTCGCAACAGAAACATGAAGGCACACAATAACCAAATTATATCACTCTACTTAATTTGTAGAAGTAAAAAAAAAAAACAAAAAAATCCTGATCCAACCAAAGCAAAAATACAAGTGATAATGAAGAATATAACATGAACAGAAGGAGATCACACTCATAATTATCAAGCTTTTGTTCGACCACAAACAAATGCGTTAACCCACACTGGAAAGGACATTTCCCTATTTTCAGGAATTGAAAATTGTAAGATGACAATTGCAATCTAATATGATTTTCAAGATCCAAATTCAATTATAGCACCATGCTGCTATGTTTGACAACTACATTGAAGTAACACAAAACGAATATGGAATTGATATCCAATCATCATGACAATAAATTGAGCATGTTTAATTAGATTAATTTAAAATTATTTAACAAATTAAAATTTCAGGACAGCAAGATTTGTTGCGAGAAAATCATGAGCATGTCTAAAAAGAATAAATGAAAACTTAGACACACGATTAAAAGGAGGTTAAATGAAATGAGGCTTACATGATCCAATGACACCAAAGATGAAGAATCCAAGGAGAACAGGACCAACAGTATAGTCCTTTCCCTTTTTCATGGTTGTTTCGGGCACAGCTCCTCTCTTGGTAAAGTTCTCAAATCTATCAATTTTCCTAGCAGCGAGATGCCCTGATGTATTCTGAACATACAGCAGTAATCACAAAAAAACAAATCAACCCTCAACATTTGTCATAACCTCGTCAAACTAAAAAATGCAATAAGCATAACATCAGTAGTGATGTAAGGATGAAATGATCAAATTCTAACTTTATTAAAATAAAATGAATTATACAGCTATTATTAATTCAAAAAACATTAATAGCAAAAGAATTGACCAATTAGTCTATCATGTGCATACCATATAAAAAAATGATAGCATGAAAAATAAATTTTGCAGATCAGGTCAGGTTGATTTTCTATCATTTTCCTGTTCTAAATCCAAATGAATATGACTATTAAACAAAATACAGACAGACCAAAAACCCAGAACTCTGAAAACATAAATTCAAAAATATATATATTACAAAAATACAAATTACCATGATTACAACAGTGACCAACATCTGGTTGCCAGAAACAGTCACAAAGTAACAGGTGATTGACTCTTTCCCTCTCCAGCGAGATTTTTTTCTTGGCTCGCCCTTTGATTTCCCCCATTCTCCACAATCTCTTCTTCCTTGACATCTACCACAACCTGAAGAAGTTCTGGTGGAGTAGCCGCTGGGTCCAGCTCCCGACAACCTTTTGGTGCATTCGGACCTTCTTGACCCATAAGCAAGTACGAGGGAACATGGTGAGAAAATCTAAACATCTCTTCCCTTGGAATCCTCCTGACTTCCTTGGGGTCCAAATGCTGGTGAAACACAGTCTTGAAACCAGCAACTTTTACCAAGGGAGTAACAGTTACACCTAGTTCTTCATTGTAGTCTTCAAGTACTTCCACCATGTCATATTTGTGTATCACCTCATCTGCTGTCAGCTCGTTCCACTCTGGGGACCAATTCCGATAGAGAGCCCATACATCTCCTTTTCTGGGATATATGTGAATCACCCCACGTGTTCCTTTTGTCCATCTAACCTTGTGTGAAAAGGAATTGAGTGAGTTATAAATCTCATATCTGCCCACTCTGAAGTCACCGCAAGTTTTTGAGAAGCCAGAACCAACCCAGTTTAGCGGACCCAGTTCACTATTAGTTTTTGAATTAAGCCAACTGATCCGCATTTTGAATGGATTCAAAGAAATTACATTGTGGATCATAGCATAATATCGAGGCATCCCATCATCAGCATCATATGCAGCCCATACCTGGTTTTCCTCAAAACATCTTTCAGTTCGGTCTTTGTCAAAATCATGAAAATCAGGATCTGGGACATTTATTGACATTGTCTCCAAAGTTTCAACATCTGTTTTCCCACCAGAAGTGATGGAAGAAGTTTTGATGCAATCGGCTCCATTTTCCATACCCATCGACTCAACTGACTTATTTCGGTTAGGTATGTCAGGCTTTGACAAAGAAATTCCCCCCTGATTAATTCCTTTCTCACTCCCTGCTCCCTCTTTGGCTGTAGATTTAACTACTTTAGCTGACTTCCATTCATTTATTTTCTTTTGAATGTCTGTCTTTGCCTTCTCCATTAGTAAGGTTTGAATTTCAGATTGGGAGACATCCCTCATGCCATAGGGCTTAGTGATTCCATTCACCCTGTTTTCAGAACTTCCCTGCCTAAATCCAGATACATTAGCAGTGCGGCCAGTGCCAGCTCCACCAAATCCTACACCCATCTGATTTGCAGACAGATTTCCATTGTTGCCATGGCCAACATCATCCGTGCCTCTTCTTCTCTTTGCAGCATTAGAATACACACTGGAAGATGGATTGGACATCTTCTTTGAGGCATGATTCTTACGCTTCAGGGCCTCCTCTCTTTTTGTAGCTGCCTGTGCTTCCTCACGCTCTCTCTTCACCTTTTCATGTGACTGCTGGACCACACTTGCAGGTTGAGTAGCAGTTGAAGCACCACCAACTCTAGAGGAAGTGCCCCACTGAAAGTTGGCCTGATTATTTGAATCAGGGCCATTGGATCCCCCTGCTCCCACATTTGAAGAGTTGACACTACTCCTTCCAGGATTTGATGCGTGTCTGCTAGTAGCAGCTTGATGGTTTGACTGCTGCTGCTGCTGCTGAAAAGAACTCCACGGTGCGGCTGACCTAGATGCATGTGAAGGTGGGGGTGGCATTTCAATGGCTAAAAATGGCTCGTGGCAATTAGGACAAAGGAGCTTATGATTAAGATAGACTCTGAGATACTCATATTGCATCTTGCATCCATGACAAACAGTCCAAAAGGTATTGGGTTTTGTCTTATAAGATGAAGCAGGAGTTGAAGAATGCCCAGTTCGAGGACTACTTTTGTGTGTCTTCACACTCGATTTAGTGAAATTGTAAGACCCATTGGACCCTGGTTTTGCTGATGAACTACCAGCACCAGAAGAGACCTTTTGAAATACTTTTCCATTTCTTCTCTGGTCATAAGCCACCCTCTTAGTTTTATCAGACAATAAACTCCATGCTTCGGATATACATTTAAATGCACCATCCGCTCCAATAGACTTGTTTTTATCAGGATGAAGCATAAGAGCCAGTTTCCTATAATGTTTTCGCACCGTCTCATCATCTGCTTGTGGATCTGCACCAAGTATCCCATACCAATCTGCTTCCCCATTTATTTTGTTCTCAGCAGCAATATACACATCAAGTGTGGCTAACATCTGAGGAATGCCTTCAAGTCCAGGATACAAGTTCTGGGCCTTCAAAGCAAATTTCTTTGCCCCTGCAATGTCTTTCGCAAATAACTTCTTCTCGGCAATCTCTTTGGCTCTAGTGGCCTCATCTTTGTTGCATTCCATTTATGCTATCTCTCCTTCCTTCTTTAATTTTTTAACAAAATAATAACACCAAGGCTGATTTCAGATTCAACAAAGTTCAGCTATCCACTACTCCTTTGTACAGATTCTGAACAAATGAATTACTATTATTATTATTATTATTCAGCAATCGTTGACTCATTCCAATAACAAAAACTAATTGAGCAGTTAGTCTATCATAAAAAATGACAGCAGAAATCATAACATAACATAAAAAAATTTCAGCTTAGATCGGTTCAACTATCTATCATGCTTCTGGTTCTAAATCCGATCGCATAAGCTATTTAAGCAGACTACGAACAAACAACTCTCAAAGTATAAAATTAATACCTTTTACCATTAT